ATCCGCACCAGATCTCTTTGGTTGAAAATCCTCATCAGACAATGGGGATGAAGGTAAAGCGCGGGACTCGGCCAACAGCCTCACCCCGTCATTAATAACTTCACCTGAGTTGTCCATTCCCTCTTTCACTCCTTTCATTAAATCGCGCGGAGATCAGGATAGCGCTGCCAAGGTGCGCCGCGGTGTCTACCTGGCTCAGGTGGGCGTAGCCGCGGTGCACAGGTAACAGGTGTATCGCGGAGGAGGGGCATGAACAGGTGTAGCCAGAGGTTTGCCCTGTGTCGTGTAGAGCGCGCCATCGGCGCGGGACGGGCGAAGCGGCGGCGTGCGTTAGTCGGCGGGACCCTCCATCTCCCCCACCACTCGCCCAGCCAAGGGGTCCGCCAACCCTGTCATATGCCAGACTCCTGGAGTACCCCTTCCGTATCCGAGAGTACACGCGGGCCGTGAGCCGCGAGCCGGGCCGGGTCAGTTGAGGGGGGGGGGGGCGCTACACATCGCCGCACGCACTCGCCGCGCAGCTGCTCAGCGACAGGTGCACGGTCGTACTACGGATCGGAGACAGAACGTGAAGGGGGGGGGGGTCTTATTCTGAGGGCTGTCGAAGTCGAAAGCCTCTTCAGCGCGGCCGCCCTTCGTCGCCTCCGCGGTGACGGTGGGTCCAGGGGCGGGCCGCGCACGGTGACGTCATCGGGACGGGCCCCGCTTGTCCGCGAGCGCCGCGAGCTTCGCGAGGCCGGCTCAAGCGCGCCTTCCGCGGCCGCGTGACCGTGACGCCGGCGGCGGCGGCGGCGGCGCGCGCGCGCGGGGGGTCCCAAGAGAGGAAACGTCTTCCTTTGGACACGTGGGTGACGTGGTGGGCCCGCGACAAGGCCGCGTACGTGCGCCCGGGATCGAGTGGCATGAGCGACTGGTGCTGGTGCTCTGCGCGGCCCATTATCAAGCCTTCGGGGGCGTGGCGGGGCGGGCGGGGCTCATCGCACAGCCTGGCGTGGCGGGCGCTGGCGGGCCCCGCTTGGACAGGACGGCCGGATCACGTGGTCCCGGCCGGGCCGGGCCGGGCAGGACAGGTGGGCACCGTGGGCACTGCATGTGCGTGCCGGAGCGGCCCGGGACCCGGAGCCACCTGACACCCCTGCAGCAGCAGCAGTAGCAGCGGGGCCTGCCCGGTGGGGAATGCGACCAGTGCAGAGAGCTGCGCGCGCTGCGGCTCCGAGCAGCTGCCGAAAGGGGTGACGCGATCAACACAAATAAAACGAGGAAGACGGTTTCGAAAAAGTTGACAACAAATTTCCTCGCAATAATGTAATTATTAAAAAATGGGGAATGTAAAAACACTTTACAAATACTGTATTATAATATCATTGGGTTGGACGGACACAGTTTACACATTCATGGCTGCTGGACAGAGCTCTTCCATGATTTATGGGACGTGCACAACACAAAATGCACACATAAACATGAATTTCTAGTTACTGTACAAAAGTACAAAATCACAAGCAGAAAATACCTAAACAGGTACCAGGAAAAAAAAGGGGAATGGTTATTAAAATAGGCGGTATACAATGGTATACTACAATGTCACAACTGGGTATGAACCAGAAAATTATAAAAAAGGCACATTATGCCTGAGACCTTATTCATTTGTAAGATTCAGAAATATGAACCTTTAGATTAATATATTACAACAATTGGTTTTTGAGATAAAAATCTGAGATACTTCAGCAGAACACAATTTGTGCAATGGCTTCGTTTCATCAATTATACATACCATACATTTTTTTTTTAAACTTACTCCAATATAATCTACTAACCTCCCTAAACACTATGAGATGAAGGCACTTTGTTTGAAAAATCCCTATTTCACATTTATAAGTATGACTTACCGATAAATTAAGGATGACACAGAAATATCAATCACAATCATACATATATAGATCCAGTTTAAATCTCCCAAAACTGACAGACACACTTCTTCAAAATATGTAAAACTGTACATACTATTACATGGTAGTATAGGTGCATAATGATTTTCAGTCATCTAAAAGATCGCTTTTCACTTACAAGATAATTTAAAGTCTTCTGTTAAAACCTTCAAAAAGCAAGTTCGTTTCTTTAAAAAAATGAAAATGGGTTAGTAAGTACTTGGCAAAAGGCCATAAAAGTATCTAGATGCCATGAAGTGGGCTTAAATCATAAATCACTGATCCCACAAAATCAATTATCTGTGGCATCTTCTGGACGGATGCAGTAATTAAGGTAATTTCTATTTCTCTACTTAATTTACATTTGCTGGTAACACTAAAATGATTACTAAAACTAAAGCAAACAGATTCCAAATGGACAGATTTAAAGTTCCAACGCCACTTCTAAGGACATCCTGGTCACCTGGAATGAAATTTATCCATGTCAGTACTTAGAAAAATACACACCAAATTTAATTAAAATATTCAGGAGTAGATAGATGAATTAGAATTTCAAAACTATACTCTTAACTTACCCATCTGGAATGTCAAAGCAGGAGAGGACATTCTTCCATCTCCTCCATTTGAGGTGGCAAGAACTCTCATGTGGTAACTTTTACCAGGTGATAAACTTGTTATATAAGCTTCTAGCTTATGGCCTACTGATATGAAAGTATCATTGGCAGTACTCATATCTCGATCTTTCTCCCAAACTCTCACCTTTAAAATAAACAAACAACCACAGTAATATTTTTCCTCTAGAATTAAATAAGGCAAGAAATGTCTGATAAGGATTAGAAAAACTGAATACTAACCTTATAACCAGAAACAGGTTCTTCATCTAGACTTGGTGCAACGTAACGCCACACCACACGAACGGTTGACGGGTTCACACCATAAATGTGAACCGAAGAAGGTGGTTTTTGAGGTGCCATCCTGAAAGTCCTCTCTATACCAAACAAAAATAAAGAAACAAAGTTTATGTAGTTAGATGTACTTACAGTCTGTAAAAATGATGTAAATTTATGAGAATTCAATTACACACCTTTCCACCGTTCACTCTCAGGTCCTTCTCCAGCTGCATTGAAAGCCATAACTTTCACAAAGTAAAAGGTGTCAGGTCTAAGACCAACAATCAAAGCCCATGGATTAGTACTGCGGCTGAGGTAGTATACAGAGTCCTCTTCCTTTTGTTCTGCTATCCAATACTTCAACTGCAAGAAAAAAGTAGTGCATTTATTACTGTAATTATTTAAAAAAAGTAAAAACTCTTTTTTGTAAGAACAGGAATCTTACCCTATAGCCAATTAATTTTCCACGAATCATTTCTCGAGTTTGATCTACAGGTTGCCAAGTAACATTGAGAGATGTAGAGTTGAAAGAACGGGCATAAACTTGTTGTGGAGCAGCCTGTGGCATGTCCTCAGCAGAGAAGATCGTTGTTATCTTTGACTCAGGACCAAAACCAATATCATTAACAGCCTGAACTTTCACATCATAACGAGTGTAAAAGTGTTCTGTTTGAATACGGAGAACAGCCATGCCAATGTTCCCCTGATCTTTCAGAGCAAGTGATTGAAATTCAGTATCATGTTCAGTTCTTCGCCAGAAAACTTTGTAGTATATTCCTGGACCGTTTTGATCTTGAGGAGGCAGGGGCTGGAAAATTTAAAATAGGTCACCACATGAAGAAATTAAATCAGGATCAATGACAGTGCATCTCATGAAGAAATTAGAACCTACAGTCCATGTGATAGTTAAGTCACCAATTTTTCCACCTCCGCCTCCAATCTTAGTAGGGAATTTATAGGGGCGGTCAGGAGGAGTTCTGTACTGGGGACTTGGAGTAGAGAAGACACCATAGCCCAATGCATTGGCAGCAGCCACTCTAAATTCGTAAGTGCAGCCAGGTGCAAGCATTCCCTCTAGTTCAAACTGCTTGCGTCCATTGTACCGATCAATTTCCTTGGCTCTTACATCTGGTGAGGTAGAAATTGAAATTTTGCGTTGGTTTTAAGAGGAAATTAAAGTTGTAAGATCCATCACAAACTTGATAAAAACAGAGGTAAATAAACTATTTGATGTAGATAAACCTACCTCTAGTGATGTTTAGCCAAGTGTCATTAAAGGTTGTTCGTGCAGAAATGATGTACACATAAATAGGCTGGCCATTGGGAGCACCATCTGTCCACTGAATAGTAGCAGATGTTTTCTTTATGTCTACAACCTGAACACCACCTAAAAGAACAAAACAAAACAAAAAAAAACAATAAGAATAAAGTGCTTCTTGAAGAAATGCATTTCTTTGATATCTGAATCTTTTAATTAATGACTTAAAGCACCAACCTGGAGTACCAGGTGGACCTTCCACAATGACACGAGTCCGTGTGACAATTCTCCCCACCACACTCTTCACAATGCATTCATAATCTCCAGCTTCTGCTAAAGATGCATTACGAATAGCCAAGAGGTTACCATCAACTTTCTAAAGGGCAAATATTTTAGATGTTAGTATTCATTTAGATCTATGTTTTTAAAAATAAAGTGTGTAAAAGTATTACAATTCGAATTTGCTGATTTCGTTCATCCCGAATACGAAGTCCATTATGAGTCCAAATGTATGCTACATCCAACATTTCGTCAGATGCTGCGTCACATGATAGAGCAATATCAGCTCCTTGAGTTGTGACAAACTGAGGTGGCATGGTGCGGATAAAACGTGGTCCCCCTGAAAATAAAACACAAAAGGTAATCAAATAATAACTTCTAAAAGACAAGCAAGTAAGATGACTGTTCATGAAGTGAGATTTCCTATGAATACTAACGTAAGACAATAAGACGTCCACTACTTGAATCCCTGCCATAAACATTTTCTGCTGTACATGTATACACTCCATCATCATCCCTTGACACTGGTTTAATAATCATATTACCATTTTCGAGAATAATTCGCCTTCCGCCACTTCCTGCACAGAACAGAATTAAAATAATAAATTTTCAGGAACTGTTAGAGAGTATGGTTGAAAGCACAGAAATTATATGAATACCTAGTACATTCCCATTCTTTCTCCAGACAAATCTTGGCCTTGGGGCAGCCTCAGGGTTGCAACGCATTGTCACATTTCCTCCCTCTGCAGCATATGTCTCAGCTTCCAAGGGTCGTTTTTTGAAGGAAGGGGGAAGCGCTAGACACAAAATTAAAAGATAAACATGAGCTTGGAAAAGCACAAGGGTAGAGGTATTTACACAGTCTTCAAATGCAGAAACATACACAACACTCTTAGCTGTGCAGAGGAGTAACGTGTCCGTAACTGATTTCGGGCACGACACTGATACATAGCTTGTTCACGATGAGGTTCCAAGCGTTCGATGGTTAACACATTGTCCTGGATATGGTAACGTCCCCAGTCTTCAGGTGATAAACGATTAACATCAAGTTCAATACCATTTCTGAGCCAAGAATATGTAACATCAGGAATTCCAAATGCTTCACAAGTCCATGTTAAGTTGCCTTGAAAATCCATGTGCTTGTCCATGAGCGGAACAGTGAAGTTGGGCATAGCTGTAGAAGAGTATTTTTTTAAATAAAAAATTGTATATCAAGTAGAGTTGTTTTTTACTTGAACAATTAGAAACAAGCTTAAAATTACAGGAAAATACTGGCTTACCTTGGATACTGATTATCACACTGTTTGTTATAGCTGCTCGATCATTGTTTGCACGGCATACATACTCTCCCTGATCTTCTACTTGTACACTGGGTATTATCAAAACTCTATTGTAATTGGTCATATAGGATCCTTTGGGCAAATTTCCATTAACTCTTGTCCAATTGTATGATGGCACTGGATACCCAAACGCAATACACTCAAGTCTGACCTCATGACCAGCAATAAGGGCTTCTGGGAAAGACTTTGGGAAGTTGTTGGGAAATTTCAATTGTTGGTAATTGGGATGTGGGCGTACAGTGAAATGGAAGAAAGGACCATTTCTGCCTGTATCAGAGACTTTGCTTTGCACATTACAACTGTAGTTGCCTTGGTCAATATTTTCAAGAGCAGAAAAGTACAAAGCGCCATCATAGGAAGAAAATACTCTTCTGTCTTCCTCTACAAAATTAGGAAAATAGTCACGAGCCCAATAATAGGTTACACCAGGGAAGTATTGAGGTGGGTCACAGTATATTGCTTTCCCCCAATTTTTGTCTCCATACTCTGGGGATCTTTTCAAATTGAATTCCCCAATAAAACCAAATGACAATTCAACACTTTCTGACACAATTGTGCCAAACTTGTTGGTTGCTTTGCAATGATAAGTGCCACGATCTTTAATCTGAAAATAAACATAGTACATGACATTTTTTTTTTTTTTTAAACATCAGGTTCACATTTTAATGATTTTAAATTGATGGAAAGAAGGAGGTTACTAACCTGATTAGGATTATATATGATAAGTGATCCACCACTAATAGTGTAACGAGAATCCTGCAGGGGATCAATTAGAGACTCACGAAGAACGTCATTTTGATAGTCCTCCTTGAACCATTCATAGGACGGAGTGGGGTAGCCACCAGCCAAACAGCTAAAACGTAGAAACTAAGAACTTTACATTTTGTTTCAAAGAACAAGGAAGATATATACAAATATCAAATACTGTACCTCAAAGTAACATCATTATTAGTCTTCCGTTTTGAGAGGTCAAACACAACATCCTTTGGTTGACGGATAAACATAGGTCCTCGTGGAACTAGGAGTGGGTCCTCAACGTCAATACCATATGTATAAGTACGATCATCTTCCAACAGAGATCGAAGAGCTCCAATAGGTGCTTCACAAACATACAAGAGAGGCTCCTGGCCACTCATTCGTTCAAATCCCCATCTCATCAATGAGGTTGAATAGCTAAAATGAAGGATGTGAGATGAAAAACAAATTTTTCAAGAAGAAAATACATTACCATTTAAAATGTAGAAAATACCTGTAAGTGAGAAAATCTCTTTGATAGGGAGGCTGATCAGGAGGGGCCTGAGGAAGGAAAGCTGCTTCTAAGTTTACAATATTTGTTCCATCCCCCTCATTTATCCAAAAGTTTGGCTGCTGTTGGAAACCACTAGTGTACCATTTCCTCCTCTGGGGATCTTGAATATTTAGTTGATTCAACATAAATCCATGCTCCTCCAGACTATTTATATTTACCAAGTCAGCTTGGTAATGGTATGCCTGCAAATCAAATTCATTTAAAGGATGCACAAAGTTACTTCAAAGTTTGTCTTCACTCTACACACCTGACAATTTCTTCTTGCTTCATGTCTTGGACGAATAGGAGACTTAATGAATCTGTAGCATGATCCTTGAAATTGAACCCAATGTTGAGGACACCTCCACTCCAGCAATTCTGGTCCAAACGTATCCAAGCCAGCAGGTCCGACAGGTCCAGGTCCGATGGGTCCAGGTCCAATAGGACCAGGACCTATTGGCACTGGACCAAGTGGTGCGCCAGGTCCAAGAGGAGGAAAGCTGTTTGGTGGTGGACCATTTGGAGGTATTTGACCTCTTACAACAGAGATGGCGAGGAACGCCCACACCAGCCTCTCCATTGTGGAAGACTCTGTAAGAATATGAGAGAACGAGTTGTAAAGAAATCTTATCTAGACTGTTTCCAAAAACTATAAGTCATAGTACAAATGGCAATATGAAATTCATTATTAATTTTTAGAAGCTAGAAAAACAACATTCAGAGCTCATTTTTAGACAGCCAATGATATTTAAATAATTTAAGTCCGGCCAATGATTTATAAAGCCACCGCAGTGGTGGCAAAACAAATCGTTGTTGTGGGAGTGGCACCTTTTTACAGGTTAGAAGTCTATAATGTCCCGACCGGTGCCAATTCCAGAAAATAGAAGGACGTTAACGGGCAACAACAGCTTAAAGTCAATAAAGTTGTAATGGAACATTGAAGAAGACTTCACTCTAAAATAGATATCAAAACAAACGCGTACTTACCACAACAACATTGAGTGAGTTTGTTTGTTGCCTTCCTTGCCTTTCGTTCGTGTACGCTGGAAAGAAATACATTCATATTCAGAGCCCGAAAATTGCTGAATGACGATTGCAGTTCGATGTGTAGCGTAATCCCGCTGCGGCCCTTTGCGGCGCCAAAATTGAAATGAAACAAGGGCGAAGGAAACACAATGAGGCGCCAAAATTGAAATGAAACAAGGGCGAAGGAAACACAAAAATTTATTTTGCGCTAAAATGGTACTTTGTTCTCTACATAGTCCCTGTTACACGTAGTGCCGGGGGGCTTAGACACCTAAAAATCCTCAAAATTTTTGTCAAGAGTTCTCAAAAAACATCATTAAACATGAAAAAAGTTAAGTGTTAAAAGAGACAGCAAGGTTCCTAATTTTGAATACTAGAATCATTTCCATGTTTGTAGCTGTTGCGTCTTCTGAGATTAAAATGTCCACTTATGAGCTGGGTTAGGTACTCAGAAGTACTCAGAGACCAGCGTTTCTGCTGTGAAATGGCACTACCATAATGTCTGAAGATGTTGTGTGTTCTGAGATGAAAGACCAGACATTTAAGATGTTATACTGCACTGAGAACAATACTTGTTCTGTCTTGCACCAAGTAGGTGAGGGTGTTTGTTGTGGGGGTGGGGGGTGGGTTGGTAAAGATCGAGTAACAAAAACAAAAACAGAACAAGAGTTTCTGAGTTTAATTGTATCAAAGCAATATTTAAATAAAAATAATTAATTTTGGTGTGTGGGCATTTTGTAGTTCTTTTTAAAGTCTGTTTGTGATGATGTAGCGTAGGGGAGGATAACGTAAAACATCGCTTTCTAAGTGGCACATAATTCCTTTTTATTACTTTATAAAAGCAGTGTGAAAGAGAATTGGCCTATAGACAAGACAAGGATTATTTTTTTAAAACATAAAACAAAGAAATAAAGGAAGTATAATAAGGAGGTTAATTTCTGGCGGGGTTGGAAAAGCAGTACTTTTGAGAAAAGCATAAACAAACCAAATTAAGTCTTTTCATGCAATTATGGAATACATTTTGATATGCCCCTTCAGCTTAACTTAAAGTGAACATTCTTGGTCAGTCTACTTGCAACTGACTAACAGAACTGATGATATTTGTAAGAATTGTAATAGTCGACAGATCTTTAACAATAGGTATGCAAAATTTTGCCAAATGAGATGCAAAGAAAAAGCTAGAAAGCTTACAACTGATTATTACAATACAGTTAGGGCTTGACTGATTTGTGTTTCATTAAGTTCAATAACAATATTACACATATTTTTAAAATATTTGTTAGACTGCAATTGAGTTCAATAAAGCTAAAAATTTAAGGATAAATGTTGTTTCAGAAAATATAGGTGCAACATACAGAATACTGGCACTGCTCAGACAGCATGCAGTTAAGTGGAACCTATGATCCTAATGCCTGCCAGTCAACAGAACTTAAAACTACTCAAAGCCAAAAGAGCCATAATATGTATTGAAGTTATTGTTTAAATTTTGAAGTCTCAAATTGAAACAGTTAAAATTTCATGAGATGTGAAAGAGTAAGATCACAAATTTTTAACAATTTATGTTAAAGAAAACTGTGTATTTCTGCAAAAGCTTAATGACTTAAAATAGTTACATTTACTAAGTGGAGGAAAGAAGAACAAACTTAGCCTCTTGGCACTTCATTGTCTTAGAAGGGGGAAAGAAACAGAAGAAATAAATAATATCAATACATTTGGTTGATAAACATATACAAGAAAACTGACTGTTCAATTTCAAGGATAATGTGAGGGAGGACATGTGTTTTCGTTTGTGTTTATCTTCCAGAAATCATAATCAACTACAAGGACAGCAGTCTCAACAAACAACGACAGTTAGATGTTCACTGCAAAGTATTGATGATGATGACAATATTCAAACCAAATACATATAGCTAGTGATTATAACTTTGTTGATTTTGGCCATGGCACACTGCAGTAAAAATACATGTTTCATGAATACTGCTGAGTATTACAGAAATTATTGTAAAACACTATCATAGCACAAAGAAATGGACAAGGTAGATAAGAAGTAGGTATTCAAACCGTCAGGCCTGAATGAAAGGCCACACCATAATAAGTAGTGCGTAGAATAAGAACCAAAATAGCCTTTGCTTTTTTTTAATATCTTGCTTTCCTTAACTTTGTACATCAACTTGATAATAGGCCGTTTTGAATATTTGAGATGTACAGTTTCATAGTGGTAGAGAAATATGTACAAGATTCACATAAGTATGTATAGCACATTCTAATTGTGTTAAAGGTAACATTGCAAAATACAATCGTAACATTCCACTCTAAAATCAATATTGCCAAGTTCATGTAGGAATATACATTTGTAAAACAGCTAACAGTAATAACAATAATTACAAACAGGACAAAGACCTCTTACAACAATAAATTAATAATAATAAATAAATAACAAAACACAGGAAGCAAACATCAATGTAATCAATTCCTGGGATACCAAAGGCACTTAACAGATAGGAATGTTCATTCATCGGGATTTGATCCTCCCTCTTCTTTGGATATCCCAAAAACTTTTCGTTTCAAAGTCATATAGTGTTCAATGAAAATGTTCCATTAAAAAACTCTTGACAAGAGATTTGGTTTAGAAGTCACTGCAAAAGTAAGTACATATAAGAATGCAGCTTCAACCAGTGGAATGGTTCATTCCCAATTGAAACTTAAAATAAGATGAGTATCTAGATGATCAGCAGTGGGCTATAGAAGGCCAAATTTATCACCAAATCTCAAAGAATGTTAGAGAAGACAAAGCTAGATACCTAGCATGACAAACATTTTTGAGGATATGCTCTCCTTAATACACATGGTGCAGTCAAAACAAGAAACTGCAGCCAAAACAAGGGTTCTGGTTATTGACAACAATACGTTTCAATCTTAACTAAAAACAAAGTCAACAACAAATTTCACTAAGAACTATAAACCATAGGCAAACATTGCAGAACGCACTTTATAAGACAATATTTGGCTGAAACAATTGTCATGGCGATATGTCATAAAAAAGTGTCAGAAAAAAAGGGGGGATGAAATTAAAAAGAAACTTTTCAAGAACGATAGATAAAAATGATTTGTAGCAGAGAAGGAAGATAGAAAACAACAATTCAAGTAAAGAACAGGTAAAGAAAGAACATTGGCAGTTTCCAGTGCAAACAGATAATCTTTTTCCATCTAAAAGTAGTAAGTTCATTAATATCGCAGCTCATACAGGGAAGATAGTGCTTAACATACAAATGTGAGGGAAAGTTATATGGAAATCACAATTGTGTTTGGTCTATAATTGAGAAAAAATAAGAGTACACAGAAAAAAGAGAGATAGAAGAATCACATTTTTTACATTTTTTACCCACTCTTCATACATCACATCATACTTCCACACTTCATTACTTCTTCATTCACTCATCAACTCATTTGGCTCAAGAAGAAAGGCACCATACATATTTAGTAAAGAGGGATTATGGCATGTCCCTATTTGTGAAAGCAGTACTTAAAGAAAGAATCCAGAATAAATTGAATGATGGCCAGTTTCTTTTTAAACAACAAAATGCTGTTCAAGCAGTTTTCATACCCACTATGAATTTTACACTCCTCCAAATGTTTTCAAGTTAACCACAATGCAAAGTAAACTGAACTGTTTTTGTGGTTTTATTTTTTACCTACCACTGGTGACAATTTGGATAGCAACCCGACTTTAAAGGTCTGAGGAAGTTAGAACCAGCATTGTCAAAATCCTAACATTATCACTGACGTGAAGTGAATAAATTACACAACTACAGCATCAATGTGCAATCATCAACATGAAGTCACCTGAAAGTGCACTCAAAGTGCATCTTTGTCAAGTGCTAAGAAAACACAGCGCAAAAGATGAGCTCAGGTTACTGGCCCGGAACACATTAATGTTTTATGAAACAGACATTTAAGTGATTCACTTTCCAAATATAATGCCATAGGATTCATTTCAGTTTTCTACATCACTTACTTCTAATGTTATTGAATGACCAGTTTTGAGAGAGATTGTTCATAAATTGGACTACAACTATGAAAATAATTGTAAAGAAAGAAGTACAAAGCTATTCCACCTTATGATTTGTCTCATGCATGTAACTAGAGTTTAAAACGAAAAATAGGAGTACTACATAATTGATCAGAAGACTCAAATATGACAGTGTCTCCACAGATAAGTAATGGGCTAAAAATTTCTAGTAAAGATATTCAGGACGATGTCTATGCTTTTACATTTGGGTGCAAGAAAAAGGTCCCAGTTTCCTTAAACATTTGAAGGACAAAATCAAAGCAATCATTACTGGCACTTAAAAAATGAAAACAGAAAAAAGTTATCAGACACTTTTGTAATTGTATTGAGTATTGGAGCAAATGATGATGTACATCACACAATATTGTTGTGTTCAAAACAGTGGCTTGTAGGCAGCTGATAAAACCTTTCAAAATTTAATCATATGTACCTTCTAGATTGCTGCGCACTCACATATACAATAACCATGCAAAACTATTTGAGATCATAATGCTCCTGCTTCTAGTGAGCTTTGGCATCTACTGAACTTCCTGAAAAAATATTCATTGCGTTTACCAATTAAAACTAAGCAATGGGAAAAATGACAGATAAGGAAAGATTGGTGAATGTTTTGATTCAACCAATTACAGACATTTTTTCTTCAAATAGCTCATATTAGTGTAACTATTAAATGGTTCAATTAATTAATTCATAAACGGCTGAGAGAGATTCAAAGCTGAAAGTACACATTAAAGTATAGATAAAAGATACACCAGCACTGACAAATTTTGTTTGGGAATGCAAAAACTCCAGAAACAATTTTTACATCACCTTCTATTTCTACCCTAACAGTAGGTTAGAATCTAAGCTTTCAAGGAAGTAGCCCTTAAATATATCAATGATGAGCCATCTTAGTTAAATGTCTTTCTCAGCTTTGCTTCTACAGGCCTCAGACATTTATACAAAGATTACGAGCAATACAACTAAATAATCCAAATGCATTATTATGCTTTCCTCTTTTTTAAACCATGATACTTGGAATAAAATGCATTACACTAATCAAAGCCATAGGAATGATTAATTTCTTTGAGTACAAAAACCCTGGAAAAATTAAGAAATGTATAGAGTAAGGGAATTCAGAGGATTATAACAGGTCTTTAGATAATATTTTAAACAGGTACAAACTACAGAGGCCATTTATCCAAGAAATAGGACTATGCTCTACATCAGTCATGGCAAGTCCTCTTCTTCATACCCTTCTTCCATCAAAAACACATAAAGTTTGCATGTTTGAAAGTACATTATACCCTCTGTTATGAATAGAACATTCTGCAATCTGATGTAGTGATGGGACGCCAGACAAACTTCAAAGCTTCATTTACACCTCTCTTATGATTATGGAAGCAGGAAAAAATTCTTCACATTCCTTAGGGTGTAAGGAAAGGTTCACTTCATACATGCTGTACAAATTCAGGATTGAGGAATGAGAAGCCCATGAACTCTGTCTGATCCAAATTCATCATGAAGAGTTTGTCTGTTGGTGTCAAATCCGTCTTTTCAGATGTGAACTGCTTGTCAAAATTACTCACATCTTTGCGATGTTTCTAGAGGCAAAGAAAAATAGATATTAAAAAAGACACAGTTTTTATCATACACTAAAATAATATTTAAAAAATATATACGTACAATTTTGGGTTTGAAAGGAGGTTGAACTTCTCTATTTTCAATCTTTTCCCAATCTATACGCCTGAAGAAGGTGTGGCCACGTACATCTTCTTCCCCTCGAGGTCCACATCCCAGCCTTTTGGTTGGATTTTTAGTCAAAAACTAGAAAATGAAAAACAAGAACAAAAATGTATATTGTTTGGATGGATTTAAGATTGAAAGAAAGTAGCACAGATTCCTCCTCACCCCTTTGCACACATCCTTTGCCTCTTTTGACAAGCCCTTTGGGTAGTTAACATTATGGTCCGTAATGGAAGCAAACAATTCTTCTTCATCTTCCCCATCAAATGGTGGCTGGCCAACCAACATTTCATACAGTAAAACACCATAAGCCCACCAATCCACAGACTTTCCATAGGGTTGGTAAAGAATAATCTATAATTACGAAAAGCAAATGAAGTATTATTGGTAACAAGCAAAATGTAGGGTAATCACGTGAGAGTTTGACTTCAGAATGTACCTCAGGAGCAATGTAATCAGGAGTACCACAAAAAGTCTTGGTAGTCTTGTCCCCACTAATACCTTCTTTACACATGCCAAAATCTGCAATTTTAATATGTCCATCCTGATCTAACAGAACATTATCCAACTTAAGATCTCTGTACACAATTCCTCGACAATGTAAGTAAAATAGACCAATTGCAATTTCAGCTGCATAAAATCTGAAACATTAGGAACATGGTAAGGATAACATACTTCAAGACTAGATAGATAAAACTATGAGGCAGATAAATTAGAGTCCTAATATTTATGCACAGTAACAAAAACTTACACTGCAACTGGTTCCTTAAACTTGCCACATTGCTGAATTTGGAACATGAGGTCACCACCATTGACATACTCCATTACAAAATAAAGACGATCCTGGCAAAGAAAATGCATAGGAGTATTGCCTTCGTTTCTGTTGTTGCAAACCGAAATAGCACTACACAACTCTGTCAAGATGATGAGGATAAGTCACACACTTACCATAGTTTGGAAACAAGAATGGAGTTGAACTAAAAATGGTGGCTTGCTACTTAGTGCAAGAACTCTTTTTTCTACCATTGTGCACTCTACATCATCATCTTGAATAATTATATCTTTTTTCAAAATTTTGATGGCATAGAGCTCATCTGTACCTTTCCTTTCAGCAAGCATTACCTATGGATAAAACATTTTTAGAAGAGAGTACATGAAGTACAATAAACTCCAGAGGTCACAAAGATATTACCTTCCCAAAACTGCCTTTCCCAAGGACCATAAGGAAATTGAAATCCGTAGCTCTGATGACATCCTTTTTCCCCATATTGTGCGGCACTTCTTTATCTGATGTTACGGGTGGCTTTTTACTTAGAGATGTTTTCTGTGATTTATAAAACATGGTGTTGGGTTAGATTAGTTAATAGGAAATTCAATTTCTTCCAAGTACATCATGAGTTGAACACTAGCGCTCTAGAGCTAGATACTGTATTATAAGTAAGGATAAATACCGATCTATTTCTAAACCAAAACTATATTTTGTTCATAGACTGAATAGCATATTAATAGCACAATAGGACAGCTACCCTTTTGCCCTTTCCTGGTATGTGTTTCTAAATTATTTCAAACTTACAACTGGAATTTCTGGTGGTATATTAAAATAAGAGAAGGAATCAAAATTTCTGTAGTAACCACAACAGTTTTTTCTTTTTTATTTGGTACCATTTGAATGTTTAAGCAGCATTGGGTGAGAAATTCACGGAACAGCAGCATGCATATGCAGAACAACAGAACAGGGCGCAGACATTGCTATGAGGCAAATTATCATTTTCAGAAAAGAACAGAACAGAAAGAAAAGGAAAAAGAAAGAAGGGAAGGACTATCAAAAGATTTATGTGGGAGATTACAATCTCCCAGTGTTTGTTTTTAAAAATCTTCTTCTAGCTAAGAAAGTCTTGAAGTTGCCACAAACTTGCGGAAAGTATGTGACCCATGTGTACAAAGCAATATATCAAGAATAATATTGTCATTTCTACCTCAAAGAGTTCAGGCTACGTAATCTACACTAAGATAACCTAGTGTGCTAGTTGTATTATTACAGTAACTCACTACATAATTTTACACATGATTTCTAGCACAAATTATTATTACAGTTACTGTTATTGAGTAACATAAATAAGGGAGTGTTAGTTTAAATAGCTGAAAGAACATTTTCTTCCATATCTAGTAATTTAACAACACTATACCATGCACCCTAAATCTGCATATATGCTCAGTAATTATTGATAAATATGCCAAGCAGATTGTTTGTAATGTTTGGTATAGAAGTAAAAGTATTAGATGCCCACCGATGACTGTCGAAGTTGGCTGCTCTTGCTAATTATGGTGGCTCCCTGCAATATCCAGGATGGTTGAGTGCAGAAAGCATTGTAGTGTACAGTGGGATTCAATAAACATAGGGAAATATGATTTTAAGATCAGAAGATATTTAGAATTGGTTTTGATATGAGTAAGAGCACAATTTAAAGCAAAGGTTTGGAGTAAAATATATACAAATTGAGAAAAGATAGGTAATTTAGTTTAGAAAATTTTAGAGAGGGAAAAAAAGAGTAGAAGAGGGATGGAAAACAGGTCTGCGCCCAAAGTTAGCAAAGATGAAGAGAGGCTAGTTGCACAGAAAGAAAGAAGACAGAAGGTACAAAGAAAGATGATAGTTAAAAAAAAGGAAGAAAGATTACACACAAAATGAACATACAAGAAGGGAGATAAGCACTGTAAACACACTTTATCATTTTATCGTGTCCAAAATATAAATCATAAAAAACAAACAAAATAAACCCATGGTCTCATGGACTAAAACAAAACACACACAAAAAAATAAATTAAAAAAATGGAAAATCAGATAAATCTTTTTGAATGGAAAACAAAATAGTTTTGTAACTGAGAACTTTACCCATTTGTCATCTATGCAAAAAAAGCCACACAAAAAAACACAGACACACACACACACACACACTCACACTCACTCACAGACTCACTCACATACACACAGAAATAGAGGATGAGGACACAAAAATCAAATATCTACTCAACAAAATTTGTAATATTTATACTAATAATCTAGTAATTGTCTTAAATGTCCTTCACAAATGCATTCGACTATACAAAAAAATGTAGCAATAAGCTGTGTACTTTCACCAAAGTAAGTCCACTTTGGCAAACATATTCATAGCACATGATCCAAAATATATGGATTTGACTGTACTACTAAAAAGCGAAAAAAAATAAAAAATGGTTAAAATACCCAACTTGTGGGATCAAAATTACAAAACTGGGATGGTGAAAAACAAAAACTGCTGAGACTGTATAGAGCTAGAACAGCAAACCAAAGCTGTCTGGATGCTTTTTTTTTCCTTTTTAAAGAGTATTGATCGATGGCTGACACACAGTGCAGTATTAAAATTAAACTGACCCGCATTTGCGACTTGAGCTGCGCTAAGTCGGCTCCTTCCTCAGGCACCGGTACGTTGTAAAATTCTCCTTCTTCTTCTGTTAGAAGCTTGAACCAGCCCTCCACAGGTGCTTTGAGCAGCTCAGATATACCAAACGAGAGGGAACCCATAAAGTCGTTGCGAGATGTTCTGTCCCAATCCCACACCTCAATAAGCAGCCTTCTGTCCTTATCTTCCTGCTTCAGATCACTGATGACAAAACAACATTAAACTCACGCCCATAATTGTTTTAAAGAGTGGACCGTGCGTAAGGGCCACGACAAACCAGTGAGCGAGTTTGCGACTAGCCCCACCCGTCAGACGCCATGGCCCCTAGGGTATACGCAAGTCCGCAACACTATTGTGTCGTAGCCCTGACACACAGTATAAATGAAACGGTCGTAAATAAAAACTTACAAGGTGATTGTTTCATTCCACACAGGATTCAGAGATGATCGAATTGTTTTCGTTTTCTTCTTAACATTGTCTGTGTCTGGGATCAGTTTGAGCTTCACATACGGATCTGACAGACCATTAGGATCCATAGGAATTAAATTCTTTCCCTGACGCACTGAAACAAAAATCAGAAGTTTGCTGATAAACAAAAACCATACCAATTGGAGGCAGAAAATCCTACAAAGAGGAAGGAGGTGGGCAACCCACCCCATAGCAGAACAGAGACGTTAAACAGGCTATGCTAGAGAACTCTTACCTTCAATGGTGAGCTTGCTGCCATGAGTATGGATCTTCAGCTCCATGCGCCCTCTTCGTTCTGTGTGGTCGCATCCGCACAGGTTTGGCACGCTCTCCTCGCAACGCTTGTGAACGTTCATGTCACAGACTGGAACATACGCGCAATAGGTCATTCTCATTAATCCATTCAAAGTAGGTCAAATATTTGTCTGATAAACATGGTGGTTAAAACAATATCAATGGAAAAAATTGCTTAAAGTGACGCAGAAAGCAAAGGTCTACACTGACGATTTTTAAAAATTGTGTGCGTGGATTCAGAGTTACTAAACGCAAGCGTGATTTTCAAGCCCCATAAGCTTTGCGCAGCCCAGAAGGGACTGACTTTTGTGACGCTGAGCGTGTTAACCGTGTTAATCGCACTCACGTTTGGGGAACTCTGAATCATCCTTGATAAAGAAAACAAAGCCAACTAAGCCCGATGAAGCAAACTACGTTACTACAATAAT